ATCTAATTAGGCCTAAGAGGAGTACACAAGTAAAATTTTGTGAAGATAGCACTTATCTTTTAATACTGTGGGTGTGCCCAAAGTGGGCACACTGATTGTGATTGAATAGAGCTTAGAAAAGAGTGCTGAAACTGTTGTCAATGAACTGACCGATGAGATGCGGAGAAACAAAGAATACAGACTCTCAGTTGTCCTAGATTATCGGTGAGCCCGGGCTAGGCACACATAGGGTTCACCGTTAGATTTTAGGCAAGATTTCAAGGTAAAAATTAAAAACTAATATAGAATAAGGAGATTAGCATACAGCCAGAAAAATAACACAGAAATTTCTTTTTAAACAATTCCTTTTATACCCTAAAAAAAATTTTGAAAAATGAGGGTCTTAAAAAACTAAACTTGGCTAAAATATATGGACTGGTTTGTGTTGAGCTGCCATCTACTATAAATAAAGAAGGTTCAGAGTAACCTATAGTAGCCTATAAATCCTTTTACATTCAATTTTTCTGTGTATACAGAAGAAAATTTTTAGGTGTGTCCAAACCGGACACACTGTGCCGCAAAAGGTTAAAAGGTGCTGCATGAGCTGGCCAAGATAAATTCGCAGAGGCTACTTTTCTATTATTACAAAATATACTGTTTTACCTTGACCTCGGAAATAGGAGATTTGAGAGAATATTTACTTCCTTGTACGAAATAAAGGAAGTATTGTAATCGCGAAAAATTTGGGGTATCATATTCCACGGAAATACCTATTCTGATCGTTCTCGAATCTGTTGGGAAGATTTTTGCGTATCTATACGTACGGACAGAATAAAGGACTGTTTTTCCCGAAACGGATTGCAAAATGGATATAAAATAGATCCAGAAGAGATTTTTTTTTTCGTGACGTCTATACGTACGTATGCATCTGGGATAACTCGAAAACGAGTAACATCAGAACGTTGAAATTTTGTATGGGACTGCTATAACATCTAATTGTGCGTCTCTCTTTTTTACCGCAATCGACAGAACCAAACGTATGGTCTCCCGATTCTTATATTTGGGAAAGTTTTATAGTTGTTATGAAAGACTAAAATTATAAAAAGTTTGATTCCCGCACGATGAAAATTGACCAGAATATTTAATTTAAAAAATTTGCAATTTTTGACTTGCCTATAATTCGGGAAAATAAGTTTAAATGAAGTGCACCAAAAATGTATATAATTTAATAGGCCGTACAAGGAAGTCATAGGGCGAAAAAGTAACATTTTTCATAGAATAATCATATTAATTAGATGCGCAATTTGCAAACTAATCATACTGAAATGCAATTTTTTTTAATTAAAAAAGCACTATTTCTTATATTGAAAATAAACTTGACTTACATTTATATGTAAAATGATGCTTAGCACTTTTTTAATGTGGTGTTTTTAGTGTAACATTTTTTTCAATGTTAGTAATAAAATGTGAATTTTATTTAGAATTTTAATAGAGGATAATTCATCCTTTTTCTTTACTATCGAAGAACGCATTTAGTTATTGCATATGGAAAGAAATTTTTTTCATTCTTCTTAAATAATTAGTATTTCGATTAAATTAAAATGTCAATATATTTCTATTCCTATTAGGTTTAAATCTTGAGCCTAACCCGCTGCAGAGCTTTTATTTGGTCTCTGATGGAATGTAACAGTATCATGTCGAGAAGAAGAAAAATAAAATTGAATTTGTAAAGTTTTCCAAAATTCTTAGACAAAACATAGTTGAAGAAATATGTTTCACACAAAAATTTTCAAGAACTTGTTACTAAATGGGCAACAGTCACTGCTCAACTGCATAATAAGCAGTGATGTGGTCAAAAATTAGAATTGCAGATTCACTGTCCTAAATTCACAATACTATTATAATTACTATTATTATTACAATACTATAATAAATTAATGATTTACATTATCAAATTTCGTAATCTGTTTTTTTTTTTTTTTTTTTTTTTTTTTTTTTTTTTATACTTACACGCAAAAATAAATTTATATTCAGTTATAGATTTTCGATCGACACTTTCCAACAAATAAAGTTTTTCTAGTATTTCTAACTTACTTTTTAACTTTCTAGTACTACTATATTTTTCCAGCATTTGTAACTATTCGTATCTCTATTTAAGCAACATTGCGAATGATATATAAAACAACTTAACACTAAATATATACAGATATAGACTAAATTATTTCAAAGCAAGGAACTTATACAGCATGATAATATTTCATTGACACGGAATAAAAAAAGTTTAAATTTCAAAACTACAAAGACGCCCCAATAAAGTCCATCTACGATGTAGAAAGTGTCTTAATACGGATTCAGACGATAAATATTTCAAACATTAGTATTTTTATAAATAAATATTTAAATTTTTTTTCTGACTTATTTGAGATAAAAATTTAATGAATTTAAATTTTGTTAATTAATCATATTCTTATCATATAATACCATATATTGTTTAATCGAGTATAATATCTCGTGCCAACATACAGTTTTGTTCTAAAAGTAATGGTATTTCAAATTTCAGCCATTTTAAGTAAGCGCAGAAGGAAAGTAAGACATCGAGTTTTCAAATAATTACCGTTCTCATTGTTTTCTTTTTCACAAAGCGACTCGGAGATGTAGACTTTATTTTGAGGAATTTTTCTTCTTGATCTTGTTACGGCTACAGTCACTAACTGATTACCATTCCTTCCTACATTTAAATTTCGGAAAAGATTGCTCGTCAAGAATTAACTTGCATCTAACAAATATATTTGGTTAGCAAATTGCACATTCATTCAAAAGTGGATCGCTTTCCTGTTCGTAATAAAACGTGGATATGAGTAGCTCAACTGATATCAGTTGTTTCATATGCAAAATTTAATGTCAGTTCATCACGTTTCATTTTTCCTTCAACGAGCCCTTTTTTAGGGAACGGAGACTAATGGTAATCCTATATTGGGGCTATAGTCATTTTGCCAAAAGAATTTGCTCCTCCGTATCACATTTCGGCAGTTTCTACAATATTTAATTGTATTTATTTTTATAATATGTATATATGCCAAGTTTACAATATTGTATATTATGCCAAGTTTACAATGGCCCCTAATTACTCAGCTGCTCTTACGAGATCAGTTAGAAATAAAACGTTAGCGCATTTGCGACAATTATAATGTTTAACTTTTGTAAAAAGTTAAATTGCACAAAGCTATTTTCTCCTAGATTCAGTACCTCATATCGTATTTTTAATCAAAAAACTAACTTTAAATTTTATAGAATACATTTAACGGATATATTCTAGAATGTTACAGTAACAACAAATTGTATATATTTAATATGCATACCACTAGTTATTGCAATATTTCAATTTTTTTCACTAATACTCTAATGACGTTATATGTCAAATATCGACATAAGAAGAAACCTAATAAGCTTCTTGGATCAAAAGAGTAGTCCAGGTGTGAACGAAAAGCTACGAAAGAAAGAAGTGAGCCGGATATGCAGCACCTCAAAATATACCTACATCTCGAGTGGAAAAATTTTGTTTTTTAAATTTCAGCAAGTCTTTTTTATTATTTATTGATTGATTTTTAATGCAAGCGATTACCGCAAGTGACTTGCTAGCAGTTCCGGACTAACGGGCAACATTGCAGTTTATGCTAAATCATGGTAAATAGCTTACAAAAATATATTCTGGATGGGAAATGCAATAATTCTGCATGGAAATACACAATAATTAAGAAAACAACTAAACAACTCACAGGAAAATTCAATCCAAGCAGGCCAGATTTGATTATTCAAATGGGATTACATTCGGAATGCAGTTTGAATTTGGACTTTAGACAACATCATGTTTGTGAATGCATAAAAATAAAATAAAATAAATTCGATCACATTATTAAAATTTTTTAATTAAAATACTTGTTTAACAAATGCAAAATCTTCAGGCAAAACCATTAAATTCATATTACAAAAATTAAATGCTAATTACTATTTTTTAAAATTTTATTGCATGCATATTGATAATTGCTCTTCTTCCGAATAACGAAAATCTACTGAAAATTTTTACAGGGGGCACTCTTAAATTGTCCCTTATGAAACAGCATTATAGTTATTACGGTTTCATAGGCTATAGCTATACGCAGAATTACATGTAAGCTTTCAGAATATACATTGAGATCTTGCATTTTAAAATGTATATTGTAAGGAAGAGAAAATGAGCGTATATAAAATACCTCTATACGTATAGATTCGATATCTATTTGAACTAATGCAATGAATAAACATCTTTCTTATTATAAATACATACTTAAATTAACACAAAAACTTCTCTTCACCGACGCATAAAAATGCAAACAGGACTACCGTTACACCTTTAGAATTCTTTACTTGTCGTTGCCAATTTCAAAAAGGGCATTAAAAAAAATTAACAGTATTGAATTTATTCGCGACGATTGTTCGATCGCATTGTTTAATCATCTTTACGCTCGAATACGGTACATAAACTTTACGCTCAAATTCGGTATTACACAAAGAAAGGTCTAATAATTAAGTTTACTTACATAGGCATATAATTAAGCTGAAACAAATTTAAAAAAAAATCACAATGCAATCTGGCATCGCAATCTCCACAGACAATAATTTAAAAAAATTCGTTACGTACACAAGGATAATTAAATAGGAGAAAATCACCTAATTTTATTAATTATGCTTTATTTCCTGCACATCTGTCTATTGCAAGAATATAAATTCAAGTTACTAGATTCGATGTCTAACCAGCGTCAAATAAACAGGCAAATAGCCACTGTACCGGCAAATCAAGCAGTACAGCATTTGTTTGAATCCCTTTCCATTTTGCAGGTACGTTAACGACAAATCTATTTCATGCAAACAAGTCGTAAAGCATAAAAATAAGACGCGGGAGATGAGAGGGAAAAAAAAAAAAAAAAAACAGACAAAGGAACAAGCAAAGGGATTAGAAGAAAATGTTTAGTTTGTTTACATACCCTGGGTCATGAGCGGCATCGTTTTGGCCTTGATTACCGGCACAATTTTGATGAGCTTCATTCTCCATTGTCCAGTCCACTGTGCTCGCAATAATTTTGCCGGGTGAGTGTATATATATAATTAAATATATATATTTATATATGTATATAGATATACAGACAGAGATATAATCAAATGGATATCATACGCCGATAGTTATAACAACAACGGATAGATCACGATGTAGTTTCCGTGAGGTGGTTACACACGCAACTACTAGAACGGACACTTTTATTTTTCTTATTTGTTGTTGCCAAAAAACTACAGCCTAACTACTCTAAGAAGGGTGCTGCGGCTCGATCTAAGACCCCCACTACTGCTCGGCCTCTTTGACACACTACACCTACGAGGACAGGAGCGGGAAGCACGCTGCCGCGATCAAGGGTTGCCAGAATAAAGGGTTTTACGCCGTGAGGGACAATCGGTCGCCAAGAACGCACCGCTGCGCTGCTGCTGTAGGGAGAGAGGGGGGCCGAGAGTTCGCGTTCTCCACCAATACCTTTGGACTGGGATCTTTCCTGCGGAGATAAGGGAGAATTGCAGAGCCCCTTGAAGCATGTGTACCGAACGCTGGTAGTCCCAAACGCAGTGCCTGAAATGACTGGATTTATATTTATCATGCAACTTTACTTCAACAATTCGTCCCTTTCAGTGAAATTTCCAGTCTTCGTAGTCTAATCTAAATATATACTAGGTCCATTGTATTCCTACGCAGAATCGCTTTACTTGCGTATTTTGTCTGTTTTTCGAGTTTAATGAACCGTATTAAAAGTGTTTAAATAAACAATTAAATCATCCTGCTAGTTCTGAACTAATCAATAGAAAATATTTATCCACATTAATCATAGATTCCGATTTACCAAGGAAAAAAAAAATAAATATATTACGTGCAGGCAGAACATCCCTTCATTCTTCAACTACTATGTAACATTCGTGAACTGCGAAATGTTTAATTATATTAGAAAATCCCTCTTCTTGTCCAGTCGACATTTAGAAGTTTCTTTAAGATTATTAGGTGCTATTAGCGTCGGGAGATATTTCTTCATATGCTTTGATGTGGAATGTACTCTACAATAATAATAAGAAACACTAGCATTCGACTTACCTTATGGACTTGTACAATGCTTTACGTTAAATCTTTCATAATTTAAAAGGTTCATGATTAGTAAAAACTTTATATATATTTGAAATACATCTTCTAAATTTTGTCAGGAATTCCAGGATATGTGCAATGCTTTATGTTAAATCTTCCATAACACATCGGAGGATTAATGAAAGTTGATAACTTCCTGAAGTGCATCTTCTAAATTTTAACAGGAATTTTAAATTTTGGCAGGAATTCAAGCATATGTATACTGCTTTACATAGAGTCTTACAAAATACATTGGAAAAAGTCTATAACTTATAAAAGTTTGCTATATATATCTGAAATACATCTTCTAAATTTTTTACGAATTCGTGAGCAGGAATTCTAATTTTTTTTTAGGAATTAGAGAATATGTACAATGTTTTGCGTTAAATCTTCCGTAATACATCGGAAAATGACCAAAATAATAAAAGTTTCATAACTTTTCATAACTCCTTGAAATACATCTTCTAAATTCTGATAGGAATTTTAAATTTTGGCAAGAATTTAGGGAGATATGTATAATACTTATATTAAACCTTCCATAATACATCGGGAAATGTCTATGATTAATAAAAGCTTGATATTGACCAGAAAACATTGTAATTTTTGACAGAAATTTGAGAGTGAATCTTGTGTTACACGACTGAACCTTGTGTTACACGACTGAATACTCTGTCTAGTAAACTATACAGAAATAATTTACTTGCGAAAAATAGTTCTTTCAATTCTGCACGTAAGATTAAAAAATGTATAGCAATTTAATAACACCTATTATTCACAAGCGTGCGCTGATATGTGTGCCGATACAAACAAGAACACATTTATAACAGAAAATATTCGTATGTGTAACTGTACACTAAAAGCAGAATATAGCTTATAGGAAAAATAATATGTATTTGAAAATCGGTTTGTGTAATAAAATAATCTTGATGATATTTAGGATTTTTAGCTAAAAATTGTTCATTAGTACAAAATACCAAAAACTGTTTGTTTTGTTTTACATAAAAATCTGTTAATATCTAACGATTATAATTGTCTATTAATACAATAAAAGAATTCAAAATACAGGACTATATGATGCCACAGTTTATCCGGATATTCGGATAACTAGTCTGCCTGTTTTTCCTCCATGCGCTTTCCCCAAGTCAAATACTTATTTATATGATAGAAGTGAGAAAATTTGATTTTTATTTTATCCTATTTAAGATCGATAAAGATTATAATCAATACATATATAAAATTTCATACGCAAAAGGAAACATCATTTTTTTCAACAATAAAAAAATAATTACGTACAAAAAACAATGCGACAAATACCGAAAAACTAATAGGAAATAACTGATTCCAGCTAACTCATACATTATGAAACAAAATGTTCCCTGTGATATGAGAATTGATATAATATCATCATTTTTGTTTATTGTATTTTGAGAAAAGGAATATTTACTATCAACAAGTAATGACTCACATCATATGCAAGTAGGCGTAGTGAACAGAGTTCGTAGTTGCTTTTCAGACTTTAACTGAACATTTTAATGCGCATTTTGCATTGTATGGATTCATCTAAATTAAGTTAATAACTCGTTTAAAATACATGATGTACTAAATGATTATTTCGAGTATTTAAATCAGAGAAAAATTAGAAACATATAAATACATTAAACATGTTTTATTTACTAGGTCCAAAAAAGAAGAGCAAAAGATCCAGGAAATTTAAGTTTTGGGTAACTAGAATTTAGTTCTGCTTCTAGTGTATTCTTAAAAACAGCATATCTTGTAACTTTATTTTTTCTCTAACAGTTAATTAAAACTGAAAAAAAAAAAAATAAGTCAATCATAATCAGATATCAAAATATTCATGTATTCAATGTAAATAAAAGAAGTATGTAAGTAAACTGTAAGAGATTATTCTATGCTCATTTCCAAAAATGAAATTATTTACTACAATTTTTGTTAAAAATACTGATTTATATTTTAAGTAATCATTAAATATATAGTAGTTACTTTGGGAAATATATCAATCATTTTTAGAATACAATTCCTTCTCTGATCCTAGTTTTCTGTGGATTTACTGTTTTGTCAACACAGATAAAGAATGTGATGTCAAAATCATTACAAAGGCATTACATTGGGCATTAAAGGCATTACATCATCACAAAATTGGGTAAAAAATTGCATACTGAAATATTGCTTTCCTATCTTTCAGTGGCAACAGCTAAAAATCAGTGTGACTGTCTTTTCAAAATTATATGTTTTGCCTGTTATACTACCTACATTTTTACCTCCTTTTTACTTCCTTGTACGAAGAAAAAGGAAGTAGTGTAATCGCGAAAAGTTTCAGGCAGCATATTTCAACGAAAATATCCATTTTGACCGCTATCGAAAGCAATTTAACGATGTTTTCGCGTGATATCTGTACGTAAGGACAGAATAAAAGACTTTTCATCCAAAAAATTATAAAACTGCTTTAAAATGAATTCTGAAGAGAACTTTTCGTGGCGTCTGTACGAACGTATGTACGTATCTCGCATAACTCAAAAACGATAAAAAAGATTTGGGACGAACATGTTCTTGTAATTTTTTTGTTCTATCATATGATACAAAACAGCCAGTCTATGTAGATCATGATGGTTATTCCTTACTGATCTAGTCCTTTGGAGCTGTGCTTCAAAGAATCGACACAAAGTCTGAATGTTAATCTCAGTTATGCCTAGGGAAGATTGAATCTTTACTGCAGGATTAATAACATGATTTTTAACCTAGACAAAACTAATTGCCAGTTTTTTACCTTGATTAGACAGCACTTTTTACCCCCACATTCTTTATCGTGGCGAAGTAATCTCTGTTGGTAATAACGCTACCTATTTGGGATGCAAACTTGATTCACGTCTGAATTGGAATATACATATTTCTTACATGAAGGGAAAAAATTGAAGGAAGAATTCCAATTTTCAAACGGCAGGGGGTGTAATAGAGAAATTTTAATAAATACATATAAATGTACATTCAACCATTATCTTATTACTGTAATGAAGTTTTCGTGACTGCTTCCATCAGTACAGTCGACGTTTTGGGAAGTTTACAAAACCCAGCAGCCTCGCCTAATAACAGGGGCAATTAAATCCACCCCTATAGCGGCTATGGAAGCATTGACTAATATTTCTCCTGTCATACATAGCATTCGTATAAATGCTTCAATTTTTTTTTCAAAAACTTTTCAGGCTCCCAAATAATAAATACTGAAGGAAATACGATTTTAATAAAGATCAAATTGGTTATTAATTACCAGAAGATCTAGACCTTGTTCGATAGATGAATGTACTGTCCGAACCTTTGAGTCCTCCTGATTACGGTGGCATCTGTTTATATCTTGAACTTGACGAGAAAATTCATAAAAGTGAGATGCTTACTGATGCTCAGATCAGAGCCATTGCTTATGAAACTATTGAGAGAAAATATCCCAGTAAACCCTAGACCCATGTTTACACGGATTAATCCATCATTGAAGCGAGGTACTGGAACTGGTGTAGGAATCTACTGTAACCATTCTGCATCCTATCAGGCAGTGGAAAGAGATACTACGAATTTTGATGGTGAAGTTGAGACTATATATATTGCTCTAAATCAGTTAAGCGCTCGAAAGAGTAATTTCCCACAGACTGTTACTTTGTCCGATAACAAAGCCACTTTGCAGGCTATCTGCATTAATAAATTTTGTACTTTCTAACGAATTTATGATCACAACGCTCTGGCTGACTTAGTTGTCTTGGATTCCTGCTCATTGTGGCATTGAGGGAAATGACTATTCTACAAACCACTAATAACTACATGACTTTTCATTGTGCAAAATTCCTAATTAAATTAGAATTTAAAAGGAGGTTTGAGCCTGGGAGTGTGTTACTAGTTCAAGTGTCTAAAGACTCCTCTGTCTGTACTTTTTGCAACTCTGTACAGTAGAGTCCATGGATGGAGAGTACATGGATAAGGATCATAATGACCAATGCCCTGCACTATTATATTTTATTAATTTTATTAATTTATTAACTATAATTCTGTTGTTTTTAAGTATTGGGAAGCAAGATCAAGGCTAAAGGCTTAGCAGCCAAATTCCTTGCATTTTATAAATAAATAAATAAACTTTCTTACTCATTCATCGGCCGCAGTTGAAAAATTGGGAGAATAAAAAAAAAATCTTAATTCTTAATACTAAAAGAGTACTGAAATCAGATACCTAAATT